CACAAGAAAATGAACTAAATGAAATGGAGGTAAACAATTTGTCAGAAAAAGAATTCAAAGTGGAGGATCCAAGATGGCTGCACAGGTAAACACCTAACCGCAGTCACACACAATTTCAATAAAATACAACTAAAATATAAAATGGACATTACCCAGAACTACAGGAAAGTCGACTGACTGGAAATTCTACAACAAGAAGGAAAGAGAAAACCAGAAGGAAAATCAGAGGAGCTGTAAAAGCCTAAGGTACGGAGACACGTGGCGAGCGGAGAGGAAGGAGCCGGAGAGGAGGGGTGGCTGAGTGCCCGGCTGGCGTTCCCTAGTGGGAAGGAGATAAAAGCTCTGGACTATGCTGAGCCCCAGTTCCGACTGCTCTGAACCCCAGTTCTAGGCCAGACCCCGGGGACCCAGGCTCAAACAGTGGGAGACTGGGCTGTAAGGCGGAACCCCGGGGGAGCAGCGAAAGGCAGAGCCCCCGGAGCCACGCACACTGCGCACAGAGAACGGACGGTTGGCTGTGCCGCGAGATTGCCCTGGCAGGAAGGAGACAGGGGCTCCAGACTGCTCTGAACGCCACCTCCAACTCCACTTCCAACTGAACTGAACCCTAGTTCCGGGCTCATTGGGGGAGAGACTAGACTGATTGGTAGCAGGCAAAAATCGAGGGCACCTTTCTCTCAGAGGTGCTTGCAGCAAGTACTGAAGGACCCTGAGAAACACCGAGACTCAGGAGCCGCATAGGGCGGGGCTGAGGGAAGCCAAGGCTGTAGGCTCCACCCTGAAATTACATCCAAGCAGAACACAGAGACTTTTAAGGCTACCAACTCAGGGAAGCTGCGAAAATGCCAAGACAAGGAAACAGATCACAAACGAAAGAAATGGAGGACAAAAAGCGACTGGATATAGGGTTCAAATCTATGCTTATAAGGTTTTTCAAGAATTTCCTAGAAAAGGTCGATAAGACCTATGAGGATATGAAAAGGGATCAACTAGAATTAATAAGGAATCAACAAGAAATAATAAGGGATCAATAAGAAATAATAAGGGATCAACAAGAAATAAAGAATACACTGTCTGAAATAAAAAATATTATACAGATTCCTAAAAACAGAATGGAAGATCGCAAGAATCAAATCAAAGATTTGGAACATAAAGAGCCAGAGGACACTCCTCTGCAGAAGCAAGAAGACAAGAGAATCCAGAAAGTTGAAGATAATGTAAGAAACCTCTGGGACAACTTCAAGCGAACCAACATCAGAATTATGGGGGTCCCAGAAGATAGAGCAAGATATCGAAAATGTACTGAAAGAAATAGTGACAGAAAACTTCCCCCACCTGGTGAAAGAATTAGACTTACAAGTCTAGGAAGCACACAGAACTCCAAACAAAAGGAATCCAAAGAGGATCACAACAAGACAAATCATAATTAAAATTCCAAGAGCAAAAGACAAAGAAAGAATATTAGAAGCAGCAAGAGCAAAGCAGGTAGTTGTGTATAAAGGAGCACCCATACAACTGTCAGCTGACTTCTCACCAGAAACCATGCAGGCCAGACAGGAATGGCAAGAAATATTCAAGGTGATGAATACTAAGAACTTACAGCCAATAATACTCTGTCCAGCAAAGCTATCACTCAGAATTGAAGGCCAGATAAAGAGCTTCACTAATAAAAAAAAGCTAAAGGAGTTCATCAGCACCAAACCAGAATTATATGAATTGCTGAAGGGGGTTCTTTAGGAAGAGATAGTAAATAAAGATAAAAACTATGAACAACAAATACATAACTATCAATGAGTGAATCTAAAAACCAAGGGAATTAAAAAAAAATCTGATGAACAATATTAACTGTTGAATATAATAGAATAAAGGTATGGAAGTGGAGTGAACTGATGATTCTTGGGGAAAAGGGGAAATGGGGGTGTGGGAAGAGACTGAACATAAACTGTGCACCTATGGATGAGGACAATGGGGGGTGGGGAAAGGACAAAGGTTGGGGTGGGAACCAGGTGGAGGGGAACAATGAAGGGGGGGGGGAAAGAGGAACACTTGTAATAATATGAACAATAAAGATTTATTAAAAAAAATAAATACGGTAAATAATATAAAATTGTAATAACTATGTATGGGGGGAAAATAAAGAATTCAAAGTAATGGTTATAAGGATGCTCCAAACATCTGACTGAGAAAAACAAGCAATTCAATGAGAATTATAAGGAACTGAATGAGAAACACACCAACATGAATAAGAATCCAGAGGAAATGAAGATTGACATAGCTTCAATAAAGAACACCCTGGAAGGTTTCAACAGTAGACTAGAAGAAGCTGAGGGCTGAATCAGTGAATTAGAAGACAAGAAAGAAATAAACACCCAATCAGAGCAATAATTGGAAAAAATAAGGAAAAAACAGGAGGAGAGTGTAGAGGAGCTTTCGGACAACATGAAACAAAGCAACATTCACATAATGGGGTGTCAGAAGGAGAAGATGAGCAAGGAATGAAAAACCTGTTTGAAGAAATAATGCCAGAAACCTTCCCTTGGGCAGTAGTGGGAAGTAACTCAAGTCTAGGAAGCACAGAGTCCCAATCAAGATGAACCCAAAAAGACTCCCACCAACACACATTATAATTAAAATGGTAAAAGATAAAGAAAAAGAAAGGATCTTGAAGGCTGCAAGAGAGAGATAGAAAGTTATCTATAATAGGAAACTATAATACTCCATTGATATCACTGGATAAATGTTCTAGACAAAAATCGACAAGGAAACATCAATCCTAAATAACTCACTAGGTTAGATGGAACTAATTGGCATTTTCAGAACATTTCACCTCAAAGCTACGGAATATACATTCTCCTCAAGTGAACATTGGACATCCAAAGAGAGACCACATGTTAAGACACAGGCTAAGTCTCTACAAATTTAAGAAGATTGAAATCATATCAAGCATCATCTCAGATCACAAGCATGAAATGACACTGAGACAAAACAAAACACAAAAGATTAATAAAACCAAGAGCTGGCTCTTTGAAAGGATAAACAAAATTGATGAGCCTCTATCCAGACTCACCAAGAAACAAAGAGAGAGGACCCAAATAAACAAAATCAGAAATGAAAGGGGTGAAGGAAATGCTGACACCACAGAAATACAAAGGACTGTAAGAAAATACTATGAACAACTATATTCCAATCATCTGGATTACTTTGATGAAATGGACATATTCTTAGAAAATACAAGCTTCTAAAACTCAATGAACAGCTGGGACCAGTTTGGCTCAGTGGATAGAGCGTTGGCCTGCAGACTGAAAGGTCCCGGGTTCGATTACGGTCAAGGGCATGTACCTTGGTTGCGGGCACATCCCCAGTAGGAGGTGTGCAAGAGGCAGCTGATCGATGATTCTCTCTCATTGATGTTTTTAACTCTCTATCCCTTTCTCTTCCTCTCTGTGAAAAATCAATAAAATATATTAAAAAAAACAACACAAAACTCAATGAACAAGAATCCCAAAATCTGAATAGGCCAATAACTACATATAAAATTGGAGCAGTAACAAAACACACACACACACACACACACACACACACACACACACACACAAAAAAAAAAAAAAAAACCCACAAAAAAACAAAAACCCACCAAAAAACTGTCAGCAAACAAAAGTCTGGGCCTGGGCAGCTTCACAGGGGAGTTTACAAACATTCAAAGGAGAATTAACACCTATCCTCCTCAAACTATTCCAACAAATTTAAGAGGAAGGAATACTTACAAGTTCTGTTATTGAGGTCAGCATTATCCTAATCTCCCACAAAAAAAGAGATTTACAGACCAATATCCCTGATGGTCATAGATGCTATAATCCTCAACAAAATTTCAGCAAATCAGATTCAGCAATACATAAAAAGATCATACTCCACAACCAAGTGGGATTTATTCCTGAAAGCAAGGCTGGTATCACAAATCAATAAATCAATAAATGTGATATAGCACATCAATAGATTTGAAGACAAAAATCACATGATCAAATCAATTTATGCACAAAAACATTCGATAAAATCCAACACTTCTTTTGATAAAAACTCTCAGCAAATTGGCAATATATCTCAACATAATAAAAGCCATATGTGACAAACATACAGAGAACATCATACACAATGGGCAAAACCTACAGTCATTTCCCCTAAGAACAGGAATAATGGATGCCCACTGTCACCGTGACTGTTTGACATAGTACTAAAAGAGCTAGCCATAGGGATCAGACAAGAAGAAATAAGCACTAATCGGTTTGGCTCAGTGGATAGAGCGTCTGTCTGCAGACTGAAAGGTCCCAGGTTCAATTCTGGTCAAGGGCATGCACCTTGGTCAGCTGTGTCTATGATGGGAGAACCTAACTTGGTCCGCCCTTGGGTGTGGCTGGCACAAAGGGCTCTCACTGGACTTCTGCTGTCTCCCTGAGTGGGGTGATTTAGGCATTTACCCTCTCACTGGGAAGGAGGAGTGTAAATCATTTACTCTTAAAGTGTCCTTGGTCAGGGAAGATAGGATTTTGCAACTTGGTAGGTGGCTGTAAGCTGTTAGTTTACTGTTAGCTGTCTCCCTTTCCCTGGTCCGCTGTCCTGGCTGACGGGCTTCTCGATGTGGCTGAGGAGGAGGGGCAGCCACGCAGGGCTGAAGCACTGGGAAGGAGGAGGTGCGAGAGGGTCCACAGCCCTTCAGTCCCTGCAGGGCCTCCATTCTCTACAGTGGCCTGGGAGGGAGAATTTTAAGCAGGAGAGGAACTCTATGCAGGAGGGTGCACAGCATGATCTGTGGGCCAGGGAAGTGCCTCTTAGAGATTGGGAGAAAACGGATTAGTTTCCTCTTAAGGAACATTTTTTTTAATTTAAAAAATATATATTTTATTGATTTTTTACAGAGAGGAAGGGAGAGGAATAGAGTTAGAAACCTCGATGAGAGAGAAACATCAACCAGCTGCCTCCTGCAAACCCCCTACTGGGGATGTGCCCGCAACCAATGTACATGCCCTTGACCGGAATAGAACCCGGGACTCCTCAGTCCGCAGGCTGACGCTCTATCCACTGAGCCAAACCAGTTTCAGCCTCTTAAGGAACATTTTAAATACACCCTTTTCTACAACACCGAAGGAGGAAAGTATGAGGCTGAAAGGGGTAAAGAAGTATGAATTTATTATGTCATCGGAAATCCAGGGCTGAGCCCCAAAGGGTGCCAGTCCCCGGGGTGGAGGTCAGAGGTTTTAAAGAACTTTAGGTGGGCTTTTTTCGGTGGGGAACTCTCTGGGCAGGTCTGGATCCTGGGAAAATCCAGAGGGAAAAGAGAATGGTTTTAGCAGGTGGAATGTAGTCTAAGCCGAAAGGGAATGTGGGTTGTGAAGTGGCCTAAAGGTCAGTGTCGCTGGGAAGGCAAGGGATCGGTTCACTTTTTGATGTGACCAACAGAGACCAGCAGCCAGAGTCCCGTGGAATAGGGTGAGGTCCAAACACCTCCTGCCAGAGACCAGATAATCCATCGGTCCTCGTGCCCGTCCCTACTGGAGCCAATTAAGCAGAGATAGAGTTGAATCCTATATGAGTGTTTATTCCGTAATGCCGGCGGCGTGGGAGAACAGGTCACCCACAAACATCTGCTCTCTCCCTACCATGAGCCAGCTGCTTATATTTGTGCGAATATGACCCCCTCACATTGGGCTCCAGTTGCGAGTGTACCCCCGCATCCTGCATGGCTCAGGGTTCAGGTTCAGGGTTTGGGTTTTAGAGGAGGCGCACACAAATGAAAGAGACTCGACAAGAAAATAATTTGAGAATTGGGGGCCAGGTGGAAGCCTAAGAGAGGACTCTGCTTTGCTCTGGCCTTGCTGTCCTTTTTACTGAGGTCTGGGTACATCCATAGCCCTTAGGAAGGCAATTCCAGTAAGAGCTGGTGATAGCCCATCAGCGAGGACTTACATGAGACTAAAAGGTGGAAGTTGCTCCAGCTCCCTTTGTCTCCACCACACAGTGGGTGCTTGGCTCTAACCCTTGCCAGAGCCTCAAGGTTGACCAGCTTTCTGGGTTCTTGGTCCACTTCTTTCTGCTAGAGAAGCCAATGGGTGGCCTCCAACATCTCTCCTGTTTCTTTTCCTTAAAACATCTTGCATCTGCAGACTAGAAATCAACACATGAGAACAAAGAGACAAGCAATTGTGGTTATGCTGAGAGGCAAATGAATTAGTCTGTAGTGAGTTTCTTTCCGGGCCAGCAGTTTCTTGAGTCCCAATTCAATGTCCAACAGTTTTGAGTCCCAATTTCAATGTCCAACAGTTCCTTATGTGTACATGTCAGCAATATTTCAGTTCTGGATGGTGGACAAATGGTGGCAATGCACCTTGGTTTGACCTTCTATGGCTTGGTCCTGAGCAACCTGCAGTGACGCATACCTGCTGACTGCTAGCATGGCAAGGTGTCCTCACTGTCTTCCATTCTGTGCTGTCTCCCCTTCTATCCTCATGGCTGGAGCAGTCTGGCTAGCCTCTCTCTGGATCCGCTGCCGCACAGGCCTGGAGAGGTTTTTCTGGAAATACACAAATATATTCTTCACCAAAGGTTAATAAAGGAATCTTTTTCTATAAATTAGACTTGGGATCCCTTTTCATTTTCTGCCCAAACAATTTTCCTTTGGCTTATTTTGACACCATGTGATTTCTCCATGGATGTCTTGCTATCAGCATTACAAATGAAAATTAATTTTCCAAAGTAAAAATTTTCTTGATGCAATTTACTCACAAAGTATTTCTCTTACAGGATATAATTCTATTTTGCCCCCTTTTAATATATATATATATATATATATATATATATATATATATATATATATATATATATGATTTTTTTATTGACAGGAAGGGAGAGGGATAGAGTTAGAAACATCGATGAGAGAGAAACCGATCAGCTGCCTCGTGCACACCCCCTACTGGTGATGTGCCCGCAACAAAGGTACATGCCCTTGACTGGAATTGAACCTGGGACCTTCAGTCCACAGGCTGAAGCTCTCTCCACTGAGCCAAACCAGTTTTGGCTATGCCCCCTCTTTTTATTTATTATTGGAGGCTTTTGGAAATCTTGCAATGCAACCTTGATAACTTTTAATTTTAATTTTTTGTACAGAAATATTACTACTTTGAATTCATAGCATGTCTGGCAATTTTACCATGAGATAAAACATCAATAAAAATTTTAGTAAATACTTCAGGAACCGTTTTTTTGTCCAGTGCAATTAAGTTTTCATGAATATTCATTTATTTCAATTATCCAATTTAAATTAATCTGAAATAAAGCTTATTTTTTAACTTCACTTGTCCTAGATTAAAGGGAGATAGAGAGCTAGAAACGTTGATGAGAGAGAAACATCACCCAGCTGCCTCCTGCACACCCCCCACTGGGGATGTGCCTGCAACCAATGTACATTGCCCTTGACTGGAATCGAACCTGGGACCTTTCAGTCCGCAGACCAACGCTCTACCACGGGGCCAAACCAGCTTCGGCTTGACTTTACTTTTAATTACAATTCTTAAGATGTTTGAAGGAAACCTCTCTTTTTCCTTCCAAAATAATTTTCAGGCTACAGAGAGTTTTATTTTAAAATCTTTGTTTTTCTTTACACCAACCAACCTACGGGGCTGCTGCTTGAACACTGGGCCAGGCATCCGAATAGCCATATCACAAAAAAAATCTCATTACAATAAAATTGACTACTATTTTACTGTCAGATTTAATACTTTAACAATCTTTAGTTTACACTGTAAATATTAGTGGAAGATAATTCAAAATTTTTAAATTTCTCCTTTTTATTAAATTTATAATTATATTTTAAAGAATCCCCTTTGGTTAATTTGCATATACAGAGAGATCATGGGAGGTCTCAGTAACTTTCTTAGAAGAGACCGGTTTGACTCAATGGATAGACCGTCAGCTTGGGGACTGAAGGGACCCGGGTTCCATTCTGGTCAAGGGCATGTACCTTGGTTGCAGGCATATCCCCAGTAGGGGGTGTGCAAGAGGCAGCTGATCGATGACTCTCTTATCGATGTTTCTAACTCTCTATCTCTCTCCCTTCCTCTCTGTACAAAATCAATAAAAATATATTTTTTTTTAAAAAAAAGACTTAATTAAATTGCTTACAAAGACATCTGCTTATTCAAAGGAAGCCTTTGCTGTTTCAAGATGGCGGCCCTCATGGGAGTGGCAAGCCATGTGGCCATCATGGTGGCTTTCTAAACTGTTCTTTGATAGAAACGATGTTTTTTGTTTTTTATTCTCACAGCAAACAAGGGAAGAGCAAACCAAAATATCTAAAAGATAGTCAAAATTATATTGCAGACAAACAGAAATCTCACTAGCTGTTTCTGGTGGCTTTATTAGAATTTATTTGTTTATAAAAATATTGGCTTTTCATTTAACTTAATTTATATGAGACCTTGATTATGTTTTAAAAAGCTAATATATTTAATTTAAGTATTTTTTATTGAAAAGGCAAAGCAAAGCAAATTTAGTAAATGTTTATGTCTGATTCATAAGCTGCAAATGTTGCCCCACCTCCGGCAGGCTATGGTCTTTTATTTTAAATTTCGTCTTAAAATTTTGCTGTTGGATTTTAAGAAATATTTTGCCCTCCTTAGAGGCCAAAACCTTAATAACATTTATAAGTAAGCCGAAACCGGTTTGGCTCAGTAGATAGAGCGTCGGTCTGCGGACTGAAAGGTCCCAGGTTTTATTCCGGTCAGGGGCATGTACCTTGGTTGCCGGCACATCCCCCATAGGGGGGGTGCAAGAGGCAGCTGATCGATGATTCTCTCTCATGGATGTTTCTAACTCTCTATCCCTCTCTCTTCCTCTCTGTAAAAAATCAATAAAATATGTTAAAAAAAACCATTTATAAGTAAAATATATTTATTTTTTATTTGATAATTTGATAAAACTTTCCATGCAATTTCAAGTATATTAAATTGGTTTAATTTCAAAAATATTTCCTTTAAGAGAGTACGAATCCCTTGAATTACTCCAGGCCCTTGGAATTTTCCAAGAATCATCTCTTGGTTAAAGCCTTGAAATTTTAACTTGGAAAAAACCCCATAAAATATATATCTATATATGATTTAAAGATTATAATATCTTTTTATAATTATCTTAAGATATCTATTATATTTAATCTGGTCTTTATATTAAAAATTTGGTTGATATCACAGAATCAATTCTCTTTATTAGATTAGCAGGCCCAGCCTAGCTGCTTGACTTTTTTTTTTTTCCCCATCTATCATTTTATTTTTTATTTTTAAAAACATAATAAGTCTTTATTGTTCAGATTATTACAGGTGTTCCTCTTCTCCCACCCCCCAATAGCTCCCCTCCACCTGATTCCAAACCCCACCCCATGCCCTTACCCCCGCCACTGTCTTCATCCATAGGTGGAAGATTTTTGTCCAATCTCTTTCCACACCTCTCAGACCCCTTTACCCCTGAAAATTGTTAGTCCAATCCCTTTCTATGTCCCTGATTCTATTGTATTCACCAGTCCATTTTGTTCTTCAGATTTTTTATTCACTTGATTTTTAGATTCACTTGTTGGTAGGAATGTATTTGATGTCTTTTTGTTGTTCATACTTTTTTACCTTTACCTTTTCTTCTTCCTCTTCTTAAAGAGTACCCTTTAAAATTTCATGTAATCCTGGTTTGGTGGTGATGAACTCCTTTAACTTTTTATTGTCTGTGAAGCTCTTTATCTGACCTTCAATTCTGAATGATAGCTTTGCTGGGTAATCTTGGTTGTAGGTTCTTATTGTTCATCATTTTGAATATTTTTTGCCATTCCCTTCTGGCCTGCATAGTTTCTGTTGAGAAATCAACTGACAGTCGTATGGGTATTCCTTTGTAGTTAACTAGCTGTTTTTCTCTTGCTGCTTGTAAGATTTTCTCTTTGTCTTTTGCCCTTGGCATTTTACTTTATTTTTATTTTTTTAAATATATATTTTATTGATTTTTTACAGAGAGGAAGAGAGCAGGATAGAGAGTTAGAAACATTGATGACAGAGAAACATCAATCAGCTGACTCTTGCACACTCTGTACTGGGGATGTGCCGGCAATCAAGGTACATGCCCTTGATCAGAATTGAACCTGGGACCTTTCAGTCTGCAGGCCAACACTCTATCCACTGAGCCAAACTGTAATTATGATGTGTCTTGGTGTGGTCCTCTTTGGATTCCTCTTGTTTGGAGTTCTGTGCGCTTCCTAAACTTATAGGTCTATTTCTTTCACCAGGTAGGGAAAGTTTTCTGTCATTATTTCTTCCAGAAGGCCTTCAGTATCCTGCTCGCTCTCTTCTTTGGGACCCCAAAAATCCGGATGTTGGTATGCTTTAAGCCATCCCGGAGGCTCCTTACACTATCCTCACACTTTTGGATTCTTCTTTCTTTTTGCCTCTCTGGTTGGGTGATTTTTGCTTTCTTATATTCCAGATCTTTGGTTTGATTCTTGGGGCATGTTGATCTATAGTTGAGTTTCTATATATTCTTTATTTCAGACTGTGGTATGTTTAATTTCTGGCTGGTCCATTTCCATATTTTTATTTATTTATTTTTAAATATATTTTATTGATTTTGTACAGAGAGGGAGAGCGTTAGAAACATCGATAAGATAGAGTCAATGATCAGCTGCCTCCTGCACACCCCCCACTGGGGATATGCCCTCAACTGCCCTTGACTGGGATTGAACCCGGGACCTTTCAGTCCCTAAGCCGACGCTCTATCCATTGAGCCAAACCGGTCTTGGCTCATATTTTTGGTATTCTCATTAAGGTCTTTGAAGGTCTCACTAAGCTTCTTGGAGGTCTCATCAAGTTTCTAAAAGGTTTTTAGAAGATTATTGAGTAACCTTATAAATGTGATTTTGAACTGTGTGTCATCCAGTAGTTTACTCTCCTCCATCTCTCCCATTCGTGTCATGCTTCTGTCTTATTTTGGCTGCTTCTCTGTTTTGATGGAGTGGCTTTGTGTTGTCGGTGACCTATAGGCTTAATTACACCAAGACTTTGCACTCAGCCCACAAAGGGATATAGCAAAAGCGACCACCTCAGGTGATTGGAAAAGCTGAGCTTCCTATAGGCTTTGGTGCTGAGGCCACCTCTCGAATGTGTCACTCACGGGTGTGAGGGGTTAAAACTGAGCACTAGGAACACTGGCTTCTGGATCTCCAATGGTTGCGGTTCAGCAACTGCACTCTGCAGGAGCTACAGCATGAACCACAGTCCTCTCCTCCTTTGCTAGGTTAAACTGCAACTGAGAGGGCCATTCATATGCAAAAGCCGCTGCTTGGAGCTTGGGTGTGTTGTGAGGGGCAGAGTCTTAAGGAGGAGTCTCAGGGCATCGTCAACCGCCTCTCCGATCCTGCCTCTCCGATCCGTGTCTCAGCGTCTCCCCACGTCTTGCACCACAGCAGAGCAAACAAATATTCTTGCTCGAAACTCTGCAAGCCAGCCAGCCTCACTTTCCGACCCAATGGCAGACAGTCTAGCCTCTTCC